TTTTCAAAGGGCCCTGATGCCTGTGAAAGTTGGACATGGAATAAGGAAGACTGAAGAATGGATGCATCTGAATGATGGTGCTGGTGGAGAATATTGAAAGTACCATGGACTGCCAAAAGGACAAACAAACCTGTCTTGGAAGAAGTATAGCCAGAATGCCCCCTGTCTCATGTACTTTGGACATGCTGTCAGGAGAGACCAGTTCCTGGAGGAGGATGTCCTGCTTGATACATTATAGGGACAGCAAAAAAAGAGGAAGACTTTCTACAAGATGGATTGCCACCAGTATGGCCACAATGGGCTAGAACAGGAACGATTGTGAGGATGGTGCAGGAGCAGGCAGTTTGGTTCTGATGTACATAAGGTTGCTGTGAGTTAGAACTGACTCGATGGTACCCAATAACAAGTTCCTTGTGTTAGTCTGGTTGAGAAGAGAAACACATCCAGAGACACGCATGTGTAAAAGAGAGAGCTTTATATCAAAGAGCAATTGTATATTAAGAGAACATCCCAGCCCAGATCAAGTCCATAAGTCCGACATTAGCTCATATGTCCTATACTAATCTATAAATTCCTCTTCAGACTTGCCCAACATGTACAATGATGCTGAATGCAGGAAGATCACAGGTCATTGGGTGGAAATTTTTGTGGATCCATTGGTAGTGGAAGCATCTCCTGGGCTCTGGCTGCCATCAGTGTGGCTCCATGTGGCTTGTCAACAGGAAGGTGAAACAGAAAGAGTGTCCCGCTCCCAGGAAGGAAGACGAGTTCCCAGAATCCTCAGGAGAAAGCCATGCCCACAAAGAGGCATCATTGGCTCTGATCTGCTTGACAGGCTAGACTACCCTTTGCTCAAGTTGACAGGAGATTGTGTAACTGCTACATTGCTATCTTGGCTCTGACTGCTGGCAACCTTACATCCAACAGAGCAGCGTGTTTCCTGGTTCTGTGCCACCTTTGTGGTGACACTGGAATCCTCTGTGCTGGCTCCTGCATCCATCCATCTCATTTTTGCTGACTCTTCACTTGACCAGACCGAACATGATGTCCTTTTCTAGTGATTAACTAATACAGTTGTTCCCAAGGCAGGCACTTAATAACCCTAGTCAAATATTTGCCTGCACAGCCAGATGAGGAAGAACACTTTCCCCATCTGTTCCAAATGGTGTGCTCAGTCCCTGTAGACATGTTACTCGTCTAGTTTTTGAAGTCATCTTGTGTGAGGATAAATTTTTAAAAAGTTGCCATCTTAAGCAACCAAAACCAAACACAACAGCACAACCCTTGGGATTTGGGTCAAGGTTTCCAGAGCAAGTTTGTGTTCCAGCCAACAGTCCATACAGATTTTGTGTCGACGTCGAATGCATGGCTCTCCATGCAAAGGCACGCTCCCTGCTTCCTCCCTGGGCCTCCGAATTCCATTTACCCTTCTTGCCTGTCCCTTACTGCCCTCTAAGCTTTATCCCTGGGGACAGGCTGCCCCTGGAGCTCATGTGGCTGAGTGTTCTATGTTTGAACCACTTTTGAGTATAATTCAGTGACAGTGTATAATTGAGTATAATTCAGTCTTCACTGTACAACTGGCATATCTGTATGATTATATTCCCCCTCACCCCCAGGAGAACCCCAAACCATAAATACTTACTCCCCATCCCTGATACTCCCCTCCAGAGCCTGCTTCTCTAACTCTTGAAAACAATCATCTTTCTCTGGTTTTATGTATTATGGGGATTTCCGATAGGTGGAATCTTACAATATGTGATAGGTCATGCCTGTTTTTGAGGTTCATTCACATTGCAGCATATGAGGGGTAACCCCCCAAAAAACGGAATTTCTTTTCCAAAGCTATGGATTAAATTTTTTTTTTTTTTAACATAACCTCCAAAGTACTCTCATTACATGATCCATTTGTCAAATCTGCGATTCCATTCCTGGGCACATTTTTCAAACTCATCTGTTTGGATGGATGACAGCACCTCCCTTGTTTTTTTCTTCATCTCTTCTATGTTGCCAAATTATTGTCCTTTCATGTCCCTCTTCATTCTCAGAAACAAAAGGAGTCACACGAAGCAAGATCAGGTGAGTAAGGTGTGTGGGGAAAAAGAGGCATCCTTTTTCTTGCCAAAACCTGGTGCACTGAGATGGTTATATGAGCAGGCACATTGATGTGGTGGCAAAACCAGTCCCCCATCTGCCACAAATCAGGCTTCCTTTTGTCACACACTGTTATGGGGGAATGAACTCCAAATGCACTATGAGTCAACATTTTCATCTGGGAAGTTGATGGACATCCAGAACATGGTTTGTCATCAATTGACGTTTCACATTTTTGAAACAAGAAAACCACTTGTACACTTGAGTTTTTCCATAGCGCTGTAACTGTGTTCAACATCAACAGTTTCTGCGGCACTTTTCCCAAGCAGGAAACAAAATTTCATAGCCGCACACTGTTTTCTTAAGTTGACTGTCACAAAAAGTGAGGTTTGAGCAAAACTGCTTATACGAAAAAATTCACTGTGACCAGAGAGAACCTTCCCCAGTGACGCCACTGGGTGCACTCACTCAGAGCAAGTTGCTTGATGCTCACCTAGTGGGAAAAATACGTTCTATGATAGCTCCACTCTGCCCAGCGCAATTCCATTTGGGGAGGGGGGTGTTGGGTGGTACCCCCTCGTATGAGGGTACAGCATCTTTTTGTTGCTGAGTAGGATTCTCCTGTATGGATATACCAGTCTTTGTTTATTCACGTGTCTGTTGATGGTTGACCTGCCTCTTGTTGTGAGTGCTCCTTAGAGGCAGAGGAGCAGTGAAAGAGAGGCAGGCCCTCAAGGAGAGATGGAGTGACACTGTGGCTGCAACGATGAGCTCAAAAATAAGAACACTTGTGAGGATGATGCAGGACCAGGTGGGGTTTCATTGTGTTGCACATAGGGCCGCTCCGGGCTGGAAATAACTACACACCTACCGACAATAACAAGGAAAGCCAGGGACAACTACAAGGAAGGAACTGACACAGCTTAGGTCCTGCGTTGGACCCCGTCTCCAGAACTATGTGAAAATGAACCTG